GATATTTGATATCCCTAAAATCTGGGCTTACTTCTGGTTCAATTTCTTGGGATAGGGATCTTTGGGCGAAATTTGTGGCACTTATAAATGGTCTGCTCAAGAGCAATTTTGAAATTTTTGGCCTAGAAAATCGCAAAACTTGACTCAACGAGCAGCAAGGTAACTGTTCAGATATGATCGTGATTACGGCTAGGATTCAGCGAGATAAAAAAATGTTTGGGTGCAGAAATATCAGCTTAAGAAATTTTGCAATAAAGTTAGGCTGGGAGCCAAAAACGGCCAAAAGCTGGTGACAAGTAGAAGCCCGGAGTGTGCAAAAATGTCCCTGCAGAGGGAGAGAGAGGAGGGCGGGGGAAAGGGAGGGGATGGGACATAATTTGGATAAAGTGGTCGCAGAAGTGAATCAGACAGAAATGCGTATTTTAGCTTTAAATTTGAGCATTTTGGTAGGTATTGGAAAATGTTGCATTGCTGCTGATAGGGTGTAGCGACAAGAGGTAAGAGGAATAGAACAGTCGATTTCGTTTATTTGATATTAGTGAAGAAGCCAAATTATATAACCTCATTTAAGCGAGCCGGGATGTGCATCCGGTAACGTCTGTGTTTCATCTCTGACTGCAAACACAGACGACTAAAATGTAGCGAAACGGGATGGGAATCATCAGTGCAGTTCCCCATTTCGCTATGTGATTGTGGGACATGTTGGGTAGTTTAGAAGAGAAAAAGACCGTGGCCGAGAACTCTGAGCTTTTCCTAAGCATCAGCTTCATAAACAGGGAAGCCCAAAACTATTCCACATTTGATTGACCAGAAGTTTTTTTTCATGCAATTATTTTGCATGTGTGCATTTTTCAGGTTATAATCCAGAAGGTGATATTCCCAAACCTCCATGTGATATCCAGTTACCCTTTGGTGATGAAATGCTCTTGGTACCTGGCCTTATCAGGTAAGTAATTTTTGTATGGCTTCTTTTCGAAGTTTGAAAACTGCTAAATTTTCCCCTGTAAATAGTTTTGTTTAATTTCCTGTCAGATTCCTTCTTATTTCTTTGCAGCATGCCGAGATTTTTACTTTTTTCGTTTTTTTCCGATTATATTTTCTTTTTTTGCAGCAACATTTTTTAGAGAATGGACGGCAGAGGTGCTTTTTGAAGAATACAACGATATCCGATCTCTCCCGCAACTTATCCTGGATGCCGTTTTTCGGGTATTTCATTTTTGCCTTGTAATCATTACAGCTGTTAGGAAAAAGATTTAGCTATAGTTATTGACATTGATTGTACGGAGCAAGAAAAACTCGTTCAAACCATTACAGGCATTTCCAGGCATCATACCTGGATGCCAGTCTTGTTCACGATTTTAGCAGCACTGAATATTAAGTGGCATTTCTCTTGTAGCTGAGAGCATTGTTTATTTTCATGCTTTTTTTGCGTCTGTGCAATGCAGAAACTCATTATTGTTGAGAGGTTCTCTCTGTGTGTGTGTGTCTGTGTGTTCGTCTTTTACCGATTTTTCATCTCAAGACCTACAAAAGCTACGGGGCTGAAACTTCGGCAACTTTATCTACATGCATGTACGGGTCCCCATCCTCAAACTGGGCGCCCTGGAATAGTGAAATTTTAAGAGGATGGGTTTAAGAGAAATAAGTGCGAAGAATTTTTCCGTTTTTTTTTGGCTTCCAACAAAGCATTGTTACTCCAGAGAGGCTGAAATTTGTTTCTTCCACTTTTCTTCACAGAATGATGTTTTGTTTTTGAAATAAGTTACTGTTTTGGGACGCATGAGAAGAAACTACGTTTGTTCGTTCACATTACATAGCTACGTGGCGGAGCACTTATAATTCAGGCGATGTCATTGATATGTTAATTTAGATCATAAATTTTTCAGTGCCCAATTGATGCCCGACGAAAGCTGCTGGATAGTTTAATTTTGGTGGGTGGACCAA